AAATTTATAATCACATAAATCTATAAAACTACCGAAAACAAATAAACAGTGCCTGAATTTAGGAATTTGGACACCTGCCTACTGAATTTACATATTTTTGTGAATGAAGTTATGTAAATTTAAAAAATCAAAATTATAGAATATTTTATATATGTAAAGGAGCCTTAAAAGTTTCTAAGTCTTTATTTTCAATTTCTTTAGTTAGGCATTTCTGAGCAAACCTCTTTTGGCTAGGTCGTTTCCTATTACATGATGTAATCAATAAATACAAGTCATGACTTATCTTAATATTTGTTAGAGAGTGTATGATCCCCTGATTTTTGCACCCACTATACTCCATGGTGGTCTCCAATAGGATTGTCTATTGAGAATCTGACGATTCCAGAATGCTAAGACGGAGAAAAAAGCTAAGTCTAGAATTGCAAGAACCCAGAAAATTATAAACATTAAAAAAATGCCAGAACTGAAGAGTCTGATGGCACCTGCCCATGGGCTATGGGCGAACATCCATAACTTGAAGTGAATGGGGCGTTCCCCTTATATGGAATGTCACCAAATGAAAAGTCCATCATTCTACCTTAGAATATCCAAAGTGCAAACAGAACTAGCAATTTAAAAGGTCAAAAAAAGAAACAAGCATACACAACTGACCAAGACAAGAAAATTCTTCAACTTACTTCTTGAAGAACCTTGCTCTTCTGCGATTTGTCCGCGCTCTTAATTGCGAAATACTCTATGGTTTTCCTCTTTCTCCCTTTGTACACGGTCTACAAATTGTTCAAGAATAATTAAGCCATTTTTTAGGAAAAGTAATTAAGCAAATCGAACACGCCAATAACACATAAATTACAACTGATGAAGTATTAGAGACTTGAAATGCAAGGAAAAGTGAAGAAAAAAAAAATAAAAGAAGAAAAAATCTAGCTCATCTTACGGAGTATTTGCCGCGACCAATAGCTTCGTAGATGTGAAAGTGGTTCATGGCTCTGCACGAGCTGCCTAGGGTTCGGAAGGCCTCTCTCGCAGTCGAAATAGATGGAGATACAGAGTTGGGTACGCGAGCAGATCAATCAGGGTAGTTCAAGAACAGATATATTTGGATTGGCTTCGGATATGATTGGAGTGAAAGACGGCTTGACTGATTGGTCAAATGAAGAGATACGGCAAACCAGAATAAGCGGGAATCTGAAATGCACATTGAAAATCAACTTAATCGAAACCTGAAATTAGTGAAGCAAAACATAGCATCGTCGTCAATGGTTGTTGAGCTGCAAAAGTAGATGGCGGTTGAAGAGCACAGGTGGTCGATAATTGGCGTTGGGGGAAGAGTATAGGTTCTTCCTCTGGATTGTTTTAAGCATCGAATAACTCACGAAGATGAAGATTCGGAACAGGCGAAAGGCTGTCGCGATCTGCTCATTGTAGGAGAAAGAAGAAAAACAATTGATTGATTAAGGCGATAATTGGAGAATATTAGGAGATGAGAGGACGGAGATTGGAGAGGCCGTTTCAAGACCGAGAAGCCGCTTTCAAACTTTAAATTTCAAATTTCGAGTTTTAGCGCTTTTTTTCTTTTTGGTTTTTTGATTTTCTATAATTTAAGTTCTACGTTTAATGACTTCGAGTTGATCGAATGTGCCAAATACAAGTATAAAGAAAAATAAAGATAACAATGCTAAATTATTAAATTAATCTCTACAATTTTTTATTTGTTATAATTTAAGTTTTGATATTTTTATTATAATTTATTATTATTATTTTTTATTTACCTTAAAAATTGAAATAATTAAATTGTCTTTGAATATTTTAAAAATAATTAAAAAATAATTTTAATTCATTCATTAAATTAATATATTAAAAATAATAATTATAGCATTTGTAATGTCCTAATTAATTTTAATTGAAATTAAATTAATAAATAAATATAATTTTCTAATTTTTTAATTTTTATTTAAGGTAAAAATGAATAAAATTAAATTGATGATGTAATTGATAACGATTTTTAGAAAAAGACATAAACATTTGGGTTTAGTTGGTATTTTTGAAAGAAAAATCGGAAACTGCGAGTCAAAACACAATTTAAGAAAATTGCGTCACGTAAGACGCTCAGTTAGCAGCCCCGACGAACCAGAGCACGCCGCGTGGCAAGCCACGCTGACGTGGTACCACGCGGGAGGCCACGCTGACAATTCACATGCCGCGATCGGACGGTCACGATTAAACGTGATGAACGGTCCAGATACATTATCTATTATACGCGATCAGACGACTCAGATCAAATAGCGATGAACGGTCCAGATTCACTCCCTATTTAATCGCGATCGGATGGTGCAGATTAAACATGATGGACGGTCTAGATTAAAAGAAGACGGATATAAATAATCATTTTTCATACCAAACCCTAACCCTAGCTGCCAGATACCCTTGTCGAAGAAAAAGAGCCCGCCGCCCGCCGCGGTGCTAGAGCCATTTCCGGCTGCCAAAAAAGGTTAAAAAAATTTTTTTTGCTCGAAATTCAATTTTAAACACCATCATGGCCAAATTGGAGCAAAAGGGTAAGTGGACTGGCTGAAAATCGCGGGCAAAAGCTGGTAGTGCCGCCGCGAGAAAAAGCAAAAATCACCTGTAATGAGGTCCTTTCCGATTCCCGTTTCGTAAAATTTTTTTACTATTGTAATCACCATTCCTTTTTCTATAGGTTGACCGAAGCAAAACACCCAACCGCGAAAGTAAGCCAGCGAAGTCGCCGCATCAGATAACCCCGCCGCTGGTAAGTTTCGATTTTTCGATTTTTTTCGGCAGACCGATGTCCCTTAACGTGTTTTCTCGCAGGGATTCGTACAAAATCGGCCGAAAACAGCTGACCCGAGGCAAACCGCTGCCAGAGACGGCGATCCCACTGACGGAGCACGGCGGCTCAATTCTAGGATTGGTCAAAAATGGTTCTTAACACTGATTTTGGATTTTTTAAAATATTTCTAGGTACTTGAAGTGCGTTTTAATCTCCAGAGAAAAATTTAGGGAATTACCTAGGGACTGCCAGTAAGTGCAATCAAAAGTTTAGCATTTCAAACATCAATTTGAGTAAGAATCTTTCACCTCATTTCCTGCCAGACGCCGGAGCACGGCGGAGCTGCCGTGCCAGAATTCTGAAATTGGCCGAATAGGCCCTGGGTCTGATTTTGAGTTATTTGGGGACACGTGTAGGTAACGGAAGTGTGTTTCAGTTTCCAAAAAAAAATAAGGAAATCTATGGACAACTCATAGGTGCAGTGAAAAAAACTAGTCTTAGACTCCGAATCAAGTAAGGATCACTCACCCTATTTCTTATCACGGCATTAAAGCTTAATAAATGATAAAACAGTATTTTATGGATTAATAGATATGTATAATTAATTAAGGTTGCTGATAGAGCCTGAATTTGATATATTTTCGGTCAGTTGCTGTTTTAGTTATTTTACAGTTTTAAATGCATTATGGTATCTAATCTATTTATTTTATGGTTTTGAATGCATGAATCTCTGTTTACTTCATTATGGCTTGATTTTGTGAATCCGATGATATATCTGCATTGTTGGATGCTCGTTACTGGTTTTAAATATTCATGATTATGTGTAAAATAGAAAACTAAGGAAAAATAGAAAAGGTATGTGAGTTGATAAATGGATAAGTCAACAACCTCACTAGATATACTGAGAGATGGTGGACGGACCGGGTCCATAGGGAACCCTACCAGGGACATTGTCTCTCATACCGAACGGGGTATGGAGACTTTAAATATTTTGGCACTCATACCAGATGGAGTATGGAGACGGCTCGCTTCACCCTCATACCGGACGGGGTATTGAGATTTATGGTTTTGGCACCCATACCGGACGGGGTATGAGGATAGCCCTGGAATTAAGTTATTAAAGTGAATGGTTCACGTGTAGCGGGGACCCCTATGGATCTCAATGGATACTGGTAGGCTAGTAAAAGAGGAAATTTATTGCATGATGATTGAAATATTAAAAGTATGACATGTGTTATGTTACAGAGTGCGTATGATTTAGTGATATTATAATGTTACTGTTTTCATAAGTTGTTTTCATGAATCTCACCGAGGTTAGTGGACAGTAAAAGATTTTATTATTGATAAATGAATTTGTTATAAATTATGCTCCATTGGTCGTTTTTGTTTTCTACCAACCTTTAATTCTATGAGAGTGAGATAGTGTGACATCTTTACTGGGCTAGTATAGTTTATTCCATACTTAACCATTTCAGATCAGGAGGACTTGGTTCCCGATCCCGTTCCGCAGGAAGATGGCGAGTAGATACCTAAAGATTTTATAGTTTTCCTTATAGTATTCATTTCTAGTATTTACTTTAGTTAACTTATTCTTTGATATGTTTAATACGTTTTGGTTATTGTGTAAGAGATGTTAATCATAATCTATTTTATTTCGCTTCTGCACATAGAAATTTTATATATATTTCCTTTAAAATTTCGGACGGCCAAGATCACATCGTGATGGACGGTCCAGATTCATTTCCGATTTAATCGCGATTGGACGGTCCCGATTAAATCGCGATGGACGGCTCAGATTAAAAGCGAAATGTTATAAATAATCTCATTCACACCCAAACCCAAACCCTAGCCGTCAGAGCCCTCGCCGGATAAGACAGCCCAGCCACCGAAGGAATCGAACGTCGCCACCCGCCGCCGCAACGGAGCACTTTCCGACTGCCAAACGAGGTAAAAAAAATTTCTTTTGCTCGGATTTCGATTCTAAACCCACCTGTGGCCAAATCGGAGCCAAGCCACCGGCCAATTGGCAAGAAAATGCCGCCGAAGCCCAGCGTTGCCATCGCGGGATTCCTCGATTTTTGCCTCCAATGAGGCCCTTCCCGATTCCCGTTTGATGTAATTTTTCTACCAGTGTGACCACCGTCCTTTCCTCTACAAGTTGACCGGAGCAAAACACCAAACTGCAACTCGAGCCGGAGGAGCCGCCGCACCTGAGAACTCCGCTGCCGGTAAGTCTCAATTTTTTGTCTTTTTTTTTCCACCGAGGGCCCTACGTGTGTTTTATCACATGAACCAATGCAAGTTTGGCCAAATTCGGCCAAAAACGGCCAACTCAATGCGTATTGCCACCACTTGTGGCGGCGTCGTCGCCGGAGCACGGCGGAGCCATCGTGCCGGAATTCCAAAATTGGCTGAAGAGGCCCTGGGTTTGCTTTTGAGTTATTTGGGGACACGTGTAGATACCAGAAGTGTGTTTCAGTTCTCCGAAAAAAATTTAGGGAATTTAGGGACAGCCCGTAGCCGCAGTGAAAAAACTCGGTCTTAGACTCTGAATCAAGTAAGGATCTCTCACCCTATTTTCTATCACGGTATTAAAGCTTAATAAATGATAAAACGGCATTTTATGAATTAATAGATATATATAATTAGTTAAAGTTGCTATTGGAGCCCGAATCTGACATATTTTCGGTTAGTTGCTGTTTTACTTATTTTACAGTTTTAAATGCATTATTGTATCTGATCTATTTATTTTATGGTTTTGAATGCATGAATCTCTGTTTACTTCATTATGGCTTGATTTTGTGAATCTTATAATATGCCTGCCTTGTTGGATGCTCGTTACTAGTTTAAATATTCATGATTATGTGAGAAACATAAAACTAAGAAAAGAATAGAAAAGGTATGTGAGTTAATAAATGGATAAGTCGACAGCCTCACTAGATATCCTGGGAAATGGTGGATGGGCCGGGTCGGTCCATAAGGAACCCTACCGGGAACGTTGTCTCTCATACCGGACGGGATATGGAGACTTTAAATGTTTTGACGCTTATACCGGACGGGGTGTAGGGACGGCCCGCTTCACCCTCATACCAAATGGGGTAATGAGGTTTATTGTTTTGGCGTCCATACCGAACGGGGTATGGGGACAACCCTGGAATTAAGTTGTTAAAGTGAATGGTTCACGTGTAGCGAGAACCCCTATGGTTCCCCATAGATACTAGGAGGCTGATAAAAGAGGAAATTTGTTGTCTAATGATTAAAATATTAAAAGTATGACATGTGTTATTTTACAGAGTGCGTATAATTTTCTGATATTATAATGTTATTGTTTTCATAAGTTGTTTTCATGAATCCCACTGAGGTAAGTGGATAGTAAAGGGTTTTATGATTGATAAATGAATTTATTATAAATTATGCTCAATTTGTCATTTTTATTTTCTACCAATCTTTAATTTTGTGATAGTGAAATAGTGTGACATCTTTACTGAACTAGTGTAGCTCATTCCTTACTTAACCATTTCAGATCAGGAAGACTTGGTTCCCGAGCCCGTTCCACAGGAAGACGGCGAGTAGATGCCTAAAGATTTTATAGTTTTCCTTATAGTATTCATTTCTAGTATTTACTTTAGTTATCTTATTCTTTCATACGTTTAATACGTTTTAGTTATTGTATAAGAGATGTTAACTATAATCTATTTTATTTTCTTTCCGCACTTAGAAA